GATCAATCTCTTAAATCGAATTTCACGTGGAAAAGTTACTTCCAGCTTTTTCGATCGTGAGTCTTTTCCTCTACATTTATATATTATTCAATTTCTTGACAGCTTTACTTGCTTGTAATTCGAGAGTATCTTATTTCTACTTATTTTCTCTCAAAATTTTCTTTATACGTATATGATCTATCTCTTAAATCGAATTTCACGTGGAAAAGTGCCAGCTTTTTCGATCGTGAGTCCTTTCCCTCTACGTATTATTCAATTTCTTGATAGCTTTACTTGCTTGTAATTCGAGAGTATCTTATTTCTACTTATTTTCTCTCAAAATTTTCTTTATACGTATATGATCTATCTCTTAAATCGAATTTCACGTGGAAAAGTGCCAGCTTTTTCGATCGTGAGTCCTTTCCCTCTACGTATTATTCAATTTCTTGATAGCTTTACTTGCTTGTAATTCGAGAGTATCTTATTTCTACTTATTTTCTCTCAAAATTTTCTTTATACGTATATGATCTATCTCTTAAATCGAATTTCACGTGGAAAAGTTCCAGCTTTTTCGATCGTGAGTCCTTTTCCTCTACGTGTTATTCAATTTCTTGACAGTTTCAATTCCTAATTCGACAGTATCTTCTACTTGTTTTAATTACAATAAAATATCGAAGTGAAGAAGTACTTCTATCGTAAATCCTTTTCCACGATATATTTTTCAATTTCTTGACAGTTTGCTCGTAATTCGAGAGTACCTCCACTTGTTTCAATTACAACAAAGTTCTCAAGATTTTCAAAGCTTTCGTCCGAGTATTCAATCGAAGTTCGCGTGAATCGACGGAAGGAAGGATTTCGAGAAACGGATATCCGAAGCGACCGATATCGGTCAAGCATAAGAAACGAAATCTATTTTCTGCGGTGTCCCCTGGCCGATGACCAAAGACCATCAGAAGAGACCCTCGAACTACTCACAATTCCCCTACGCGCATACATCCCCCTACATACCCCCCTCCAACGGTCTACTTGAGATAAGACCGAAGGGGATGGAATTTCGTGGACGAAGAAAAAAAAAAGCGAAGAGAACTCGACGTTTCTTCGTTCTAACGTGAAAAATCCTCTAATCCTCGAACGAATTTCAGAATCGGTGACGAGGTGACGAGTACGACGACGACGACGACGAGCACCACGGAGCCACACGAGTCGGAGGGAACGAATCGAGGAATCATGGCTAAAAGCGCGGAGAGGTTGCCCGGCACCTCGACCAGGTTAAGAACCAGAGACGACGGCTGCTGCTCGGTCAATTTCCTGAAATACGTTCTGCACATTTACAACGTGGTGTTATTCGTAAGTAAACGAACAATCACATAATAATATCCAATCCGTTTTCGTCCCTCTTTCAATCCACTCATTGCCACTCGATCTTCTCATTAAATCTAGCTCTCGAGATCTTCGAGACACGAAGTCTTAAAATCGACTCGACTTTCCAAATATATTATATATTCCATTTGTTACATACGATCGTTGTAGGATAATTACAAGAGGGAGAAAAACGAACGAGACAATTTCTCAATACTGACCTACAGGCATGTTTCCAGAGAGAAACGAGTTCTCTCTCTCGACCCACGACGAGCGAGCGTTGTAAACAGGCGGTGGAACATCGTGGCCGATCGCGATACATCCCATAAAATGGTAATGAAGTTGGAGCTGGAGCCCCGGAAAGGGAAGCGTCGAAAGCGAGGATCGGAAAGAAAAAAAGAGCGAACGCCAATCGATCGGTAGTAATTTAATGCGTAAAAATATCGACGCCCGTTCGAGAACGTAGGATTAAAGGAAACGGAGGAGGAACCTTGTATACCCTTTTATTGCCTCCCTCTCTTTCTCTCTCTAGTCATTTTTCTT